CATTTTCTATCATTTCCCTAAGCTAAATCATGTTCTCAGCCCTTGCTCCATGCACAGAGGACACTGAAAACTAGCAGAGGATATAATCACAGATCACACACTTGCAACGTAGGTGTGAGAAACCGTTTCCAGGGAGAAATGACAAACATACTGATGACCCAAAATATGCATATGAGCAGGGATTCCATTGGGTGTTTATAAGGTTGGCAAGAGCTTCAGAGTTTGGTTCTCAAGGAAATAAGGCGGGTAAGGAATACCCCCAAATGTCAACGTGTCTTCTTACCATCTGAACAATACTGGCACATTGTGTGCAGTTGAAATGTGGCATTTAAAAGGAGGTTGAGAAACATTTTCCCCATGATTTTTGACATAAAATCAAGATGGTGGGGCATTCCTTAACTAGTAAAATATCAGTAAGGACAGAGCAATGAGGGCTCATTCACCTACCCATGACTCAAATGCAAATACCTTCACAAAGAAGAATGGTCTCAGTGGGTCTGCCTAATCCATAAAGCCTGGATATTTTTTTCCAATGGTTCTAACACCTACAAGAGCATCACACTATGCTAAGCTCAAAGTGAGAGCTCAGTAAATGTTAGTGTAATAAGAAGGGAATGAAAATCCAATGCCATGGAGTTTCAGTTAAGCAAATGTGGGGGCGGGGCAGCTGGTAGGAAGCAAGATCTTAGACTTCATAGAAATCTCTCAAAGGCCCGCATGGATTTGTTTGAGGTCATAAATACCATAAATGTATTTGCATAAACAGTCTTGTGTATCTGCTTGTATTTTTACAGACCATGCCAACTATTTTCAGAAAATTTCTAAGAGAAAGTGATCATGTTTACTATTCTTTTTGTCATTACAAAATTTCTTTTCTTCCTGCTTATTTTAAAATCTATCTCTAGCCCATCCAACCAACCCCCGTGCACATAACTACTGTCACTGGTGGGTCTTTCTCCTTCAACTCACCTGCCCCACTCCCACTTTACCACGCTTGAGAAGACTTCCCTCACTGCTCCTGCCCCACACAGCACTGTCCCAGACCCAGCACACTAGGAAAGAAGCCAGTGCCGAGTGAAGCTACCTATGCCAAATAGCCCAAGCGGGTGAAAAGACATTCTATTCTCCCCAAACCTCTGAAAAAGATCCTGTATCCCATTCCACAACTTACTCCTAGGAATCATTAATGTCTGATTCAGTGAAGTCCCATTCCCTGTAATTAGATCCTCAATGAAGAAAAATTCGCCAGTCACCACAATTGATTTTCTTTTATATACCTCTCCCATCAGCATGACTTCATTATTTTGGCAGCTCTAAAGAGAGGATCTGAAAAATGTATCCTGGGTGAACTGCTTATCTTCTTTGTTATTGTAAAAGTTTAAAGGAAACAGGGCTATCTCCTATTACAATATTGTCATTCTAGAAGCTTCCCAATTGTTAAGAACTCATTTTATTAACATTATGCACCAAATTGTTCGTTTTTTTAATTAGATAATTAGCAGAGTAGATATACTTTGTTGCTGCATGTAGGAAGATAGAAATAAGTTAGCATTTCTATTGAGGCTAGCAATGAATCCTTCATCCAAACCGCTAAAATATATAGTAAAGAGTACATGAATAATAGCTTTATATTCATTTTTGTTATAATCTGTTAAGCAGTTATTTCTCTTGGAAAAGTGCACTGAACATACACTGAAATACTTCTATACAGTAAAATGAGCTAAATTAATTGCAAAGCTCTTTTCCTAATGGATAAATTGCTATTTGGAAAACAGAAGTTGTATAGAGAAATATGCATAGCAAAGGAATAACTTATGGTACAACAGAATTAAAAAATCCTATCAGCCAATCTTAAAGTTTTTCTTAGACGTGTCAGTAACCTGACTTTACCCTGGTAACATGTGATGTTCAAAACTCAAGAAAATACATGTAAATAGCCCTCAGATCGTTGGGACTAAACATGATAAACAGTCTGAAAATCACTAAAAATTACAGGCATGGGCATCCCTGGGGAAATCTGTTTTCTTTTCCTCTGTATGAGACTGGTATTAATGTCCCAGATGGGGGCCACTCCTTCAGCCGGGGTCCAGAAGTGATAACGCATGGCGCAAAGCTGCTTATAACCCAAGAGAGACAGGTACTGTAAACAGGAAATAAATTCTCATTGTTAGGAGCTACCCAGGTTTCAGGTTGTTAGCACAGCACAGTTTAGCCTAAGCTGACCAAAACACCCAGATAAAGGCTGGGGCACCCTACAATTCGGCTAAGTAAACAGCCATGGTGGTCGAAATTAGTCCTCTCTTAATTTTAAGCACAAAAACAGTTTGCAGATGCACACTTGAGCATCTTCAAAGACTTTCTTGGTACTTAATTCTCTTCCAGTCAGCCATTCCACAGCACTTGCAGAACACTGACAATGGGGCAGACCCCAGGGCTGTACTCGTGTGTTGGCTCTCGCTGGCCAGCAGGAGGCCTGAGGGCAGGAGCATCGTGTCTATTCCCACTACCCAGTGCAACTCCAGCTGCGCACCCCAGGGGCTCCGTAAATGTTTGTTGTTTGTTTATTGTGGAAATACAGTTCAAAAAGGAACGAGCATTTGTACAAAGTGCTGAGGTAATAAAAGAGGAAGACTGAAGTGTGCCTGGGGAAGTAAAAAAGAAATATCTTTTGAGCAGACATGAAAGGAGAACAGGAGTTTAGAATCTAAGTTTCTTGGGAGAAGACAGAGCACACACAAAACACAAGTCCTTTGGTCTGGCATTTCATATTATTTTGCCACCAATGGAACATTTAAAGAATGTTATAGTAGCAGTCTCTGATCAGATTTCACTGAGTGCCTTATGTTACCCTATCCCAATACGGGCTGGAATCCTGGCCGTATCAGTGGCAGGACAGCCCAGTGTTTCGGAACATGGACTCCGAAAGCCGAGGGCATAGGTTTGAATCTTACTTCTGCCACTTGGCAGCTGTGTGACTCGGGCAAGCTGTTTAACCTCTCTGTGTTTCATTCCCTCATGCATAAAGTGATGAGTGTGACAATAACACCTTGTTGGGCTGTTCCACAGACTCAATGAGATTCAATGTATGGAGCACTTAAACAGTTTCTGGAACGGAATAAGCCTATATGAAGGTGCTGGTCATTCCCAAGTAAGGCCAGGGGAAGACCACCAGCTAAACAGTCAGGTGTCTGTCTGCGACCCAGTCCTTTCTGGCATTTTTATCCATAACTCGAATAAGGGAATCGAAGTCATTTTGATTTACAATTTGGATTAACATTTTATGATGAAAGAAGTAACAGATATGATGTGTGCTAGAATCAAGATTCAAAATAATTGGAAGAGAGTGGAAGAATCAGAAAAAGCAACGATATGTGTTTAAATAGGGATACATTTTAAATCCTTGCATTTAAATCCAGAACGCCATCCTCCCAGTTTAGAAGTGGGAGGGGGGGCTGTTTGGAGAGTAGAATGTATAAAGCAGATTTGGGAGGACTCAGTTTGATTAACTATAAATAAGCTCTGTAGGACTTAACAGTACGTTGCGGCTGCCCAAATAGTGCTTTGTCAGGCCCCATTAACTGAGTTGTAGTCTCCAGATTGAACGATGGTGGCGGAAATGTTCTGGCTTCCCCGATTCAGGCCGGCTCCAAGCACAGAAGAACATCATGAACATTGACAACAGTGTGGATCGTAGGACCCCTATGGACTGGGGGTCAGGGTCTCGGGTTCAGATCCTTAGCCTGCTCCTCCCTGGCCGGTGACCTTAAAGACCATTTCCTCTGCCGTAAAACTCAATACGCTCTACCTTCCGACTCACACCACAGCGCTAACCAAGATGAAATTGCTTTTAAAGTGGTAAAATGTATATAATATGAAAGTGGACATCTTAAGTATACAATTTAGTAGCGTTAATTACATTTGTGATGTCGTGCCACCATCACCATTATCTGTTTCCAAAACTTTTTCACCACCCCAAAAGGACACTCTGGAGCTGTTAGGCAGTAACTCCCATTTCCCTCCTTCCTCAGTCCCTGCCGACCTCTAATCCACTTTCTGTCACTATGGAGGGGTCTATGCTAGATATTTCCCAAATGAGTCACTGACAACTAAAAATGTTTGGAAACAGAATGGGTTTCTTCAGGGAGAGGTGATGTGTCCATGGTCACCGGAGTTGTTCAAATAGAGAATGGAAAATACTTTGAAAAAAAAAAAAAATGTGGCAGGGATTGGCTTGTGGAGTGAATGACTAGATGTCTCCCGGGTTCGGATACCCTCTCCCTGTGCTACAGGCTAGATCTGGCCCTATCTTATCTGAGACGAAACTGAGGCAAAAGCTCCCCGGTAAGTAGCCCAATGTCACACACCTGGTCACGGTGTGAGCTATGGTTAGAACTGAAGTCTCCTGACGCACAGCCCTGCCCCGCATTCCGCCCTCTGACGATGCTGCACTCTGTGACCTACTTGTCCTACGGTTCTTGTAGTTTTCCCACAAATTCCCCCAGAGCTTTGTTTGATGGCTGCATCCACGATCTTAAATGAAAAGCGATTTAATAACACCCAATTCTTAGCTTTATTGCCACAGGATAAAAGCTGTTAGGAGATTAATCTGAAGTGTAAAAACACTTTGAATAACCATCAGAAAACAAGCCCTCAGGTTGATATCGTAAGTAAGTAACATACAGCCTACAGCGGTTTGGATGTCAGACTTTGGAAAAACACTGCAGTGAATTCCACGCATAGTCCGGGGCATACTTGGAGAAGCCATGGCAGTCACCACTTTCTTTTTAAAAGTACAAATTGTGAGACTAGAGAGAGCTTTCAGTTCTGATGTAATCTCCCTTAATATGTAACCAGACACAAATGTATATGGAAAAGATTCAGTTTGGTTAAGATTCCAGATTCACTGTTTTATTCTTTAAGCTCAAGATATATCATTGGATTCAATGCCTAAAGAGAAAGCCAATATGTTCTTTTAAAATTTCACTACAGAACAAGTCTCTTCTTTAACGACACATTATAAGAAATATTTTTCAGAGTAAATAGCAACCAAAAGTAAAAAGCTTTATTAAAAATTGTATTTTTATCAAAGATCAAGGCTAGTATTTAGTAATTCATTCAAAACTCAATAAAATTTCCCTATGGAATTTGTTCAGAATATCAGTTCCTATCTTTATATACACATTTTTTTTTCGCCATCTGTATCCCAAGAGGTCTGCCAGCAAAGACAAGGCTTTTTCTTTAGTAATTTGTCCCATAAAAAAACAAAGGAAAACTTAGAAGGCAATGAAACAATTAAATTCACCATATACATATATCAAAAGAAATATGGTTTTAGGGCTTCATAAGACAACAACAAATGCAAAGACATTGTGAAATTCATCTACAATTGACCAACTGTTCTTTACCATATTGGTTATAAATGTATGCAGAGTTATGTATGTAAGCATGTAAGTGGTGTTTGTCTCACATAACGAGACATCCAGAGGTCGGCAGGCCAGACAAGGGGCAGCCACTCAATGATGGTGCTGGGAGGCTGGCTCTTTCTATCTTTTTGCTCTACTCTTTTCAATATATAGATGTCCTTCCTCATGCATGTCACCTCAAAGCTGCCCCAGTGGCTTCTGCATTCCTGGCCTCAAGCCACATCTCTCCACTTTTCTGCCAGAACAAGGGGGTGGAAACAGGAAGCAGAGGTACTTACATCAGGAAAGCAGAAGCTTCCCTAGAACCACCCCCAGCAGATGTTGCATCCAATACACTCACCCAGGACAGAGAGCTAAAATCATCCAATTCCATCCTCTTCTTAACCTGCCCCATCATGCATCACGTGCATCTATAAGTTGGTAGGTTCCACTTCCTTAAAGCCTCATGTCCATCCCCTCCCTTTGTTCCTCCACTAAGTCTGCCTCTGCCCAAGCTCTTTTCAGCCCTTGCCCAGGCTGGTGCAAAAGTCTATCCTCCACACAGCCACCAGACTGGTCTTTCTAGAACACGAATGTGACTGTCACTCCTCTACCGCACATAAAGTCTAAAACACTTAGCAAAGCATAAGAGCACAGTACTGTTATCTGATTCAACCTCTTCAGGTTCATCTACACTTTTCCCCTAAAGGCACTTTCCAAGCATATGAAGCTCCTTACATTTCTTCCAGTTGCCCATGATACTACAAATCATAATGCTTTTGAACATGCTATTGTTTTCCCTGAAATCCCTTTCCCTGGCCTTCATTTGTCTGGAAAAGTCTTACTCACTCTAAAATTCAACCCAAACTTTCCCTATATATCTATATCTACATCTATATCTATACCTATATTCTATATCTATCGCTATCATTATAGAACTTACTATACTGCATTCCAGTTATTTATTTACATAAATGTATTTCATACTAGTCAAAGAGTCCCTTGAACATAGAGACAAAGTCTTAGTGTCTTACTATCTTTGACCACCGCTGCCTGGTACATAGCAGGTGATTAACAAGAACCTATGGAATAAATGAAAGAATAAGCGACCAAAATGGTGGCGATTTTATGGTTGAAATCAAGGACACAGAAAAGGGGAAGACCATGAGAGAAGAGTGATGAGCACTTTGTAGCAGGCAGACCTTTGTGGCCCCTAAAATGAAAAGACAAAGTAAATATTCACATAAGTGAATTTTCCAAATAACTGAAGTTTAACCTTTTAAGTTGAATAAAAACTAACAAAAATGCTAAAATATTATTGGTAAAAATATTTCCAAAAATGTGTTACACATTCCCTTACCTTTTAAGGAGAGCGCACCGAAGCAAATTTAACCTTTTTGGATGACTCAGTGTCATCATTATGAAACTCAATTATTGTTGAGGTAGGAAGACTGCTCCCCCATTAAATAGCTCCAGACTGTTAACCACTTAGTTCTTTGCTGATTTTCTTTCTCTTTTCACCATTTGGGTTTTATCTAGCATCTTAAGCTGTTGTGATTGTGTGTACAAGCCTTTAGAATCAGAGAATCACAAAACTGTAAAATGCAAGAGCTTGAGGGAATCTTAGAGATCATTTAATCTACTAGTCTATCAAATTTTATAGATAAGAAAACTAAGCCCCAAGTGAGTGAGGGGTCCTTTTCTAATCCGTTGCTTTTAATCTTCTATTTGAATGGCTTTCAAACTGTGTTTAAAGGGCACTCTACTCAATTTCAGGTCAGGCCATAATGTTCATCTTCCTCTAAAATGCTATGGGTAAATTAAATTTAAAAAGATCTACTATAGGACAAACATACTTTGAATGAACTTAAAAATTAGGCTGTATCTGTGCAGTATCAGAAGTACAAGATAATCATTTTATTTAACAATAGAATCTCTTCTTTTTAGTTATTTTGGGCTTGTGTTCTATTTTGCTTTACTCATTTATAAAACCCTTACTCCTTAGAGTTAATAACTGGTAGAGGAGAAATGTAAACACAGGTGCCTGATGCTTGCTACTTCATTGCTGCTCTTAATGGAATTCATAATCTATAAAGAAAGAAGGGTACATATTCAACTAACTCTATGATAGGGTGACAAAAACAACCACAGCAGCATGGAAGCACAGAAAGAGGAAGTAAGTAATTGTACCAGAAAAGACAAGAGAAGGTTACACACTGACATTTGAGGAAAACCTTATTTATAGCAGTAAAATAATGAAGCAAACATTTTTATAGGAAGTACAATGGGCTAAGCCCATGGCATCTCCTTGATAACCTCACAATAACTTTATTATTTCCCCCTTCTACAAAGGAAATTGAGGCACAGATAGGTTAAAGGAACACAGTCAAGGCCACACACTCTAGAAAGTGGCTAGTTCCAGGGCGCCTTCCATAACCACTGTGCTATGCTAATTCCTAGAGGTGGAAAAAGATGAAGGTGTCCCCAGGTGAGGGAAGAGGAAAGGGACCAGGGCATAGGCATCAATATGCAAGGGAAACAAAGAGGACTCTGAGGTAACTGGAACAGCCCAACACAAGTGGAAACCTTTAAGTCGGATCATGTCACCACTCCCCTAAAAACCCAGCCCTGGCTGCTCACTGCATTTAAGAGAAACCTGCATATACCCTATCTACTTTCTCTCTAGTGTCAACGCTCGCCATGCTCCCCCGCACTCATAGCCTCCCTGCCATGATGGCCTTTCAGGTCCTAAAACTCACCAATCTCGCTCTTGCCTCAGAACCTTTACACATGGTGGTGTCTCCTTCTGAAATATTGTTCCCCTCACTTTTTCCTAGCTAACGCTTGAACACCCTCTGGTCTCCACCCAGTCATGATTTACTCACACAGGCCTTTGAAACTCCGCACCTTGTTACAATATCTCGTAGCAGCACCCTCACTTTTCCTTCACAGCATTTACCCCACGTTATAATTATCTATCTGATGGTGCGGCCACAGACTCTAAGCTCCATGAAGGCATGGGGCATGGCTGGCTTTTTCTCCCCCCCGCCCCCAATTGCTCTGTTTTTGTTTCCGCATGACTAGCACATAATTAAATAGCCGAAGTTGGAGCTGGAACTGGAAGGCATGGTCTTTATCCTATGGACAATTAGAAGGCAGAAAAATCTAATCGAGAATTGTGACAAGATCGAATAGAGATTTAAATAAAACAAAACACAACCGTATAGTGCGGGCGAGGATGAAAGTCCAAGGCTGAAAGACTAGTCGACGATCATTTCAATAATGAGAAATAGTGAGGGCCTGGACCAAGGGAATGAATTTAAGACTGCAGGTGGCATGGCTGGACTTGTTGGTTGGACAGGTGTGTGTGTGTGTTTTTGTGTGTGTGTACCTACTATGTCCACTCTGTGAGCTACTATCCACTTAGGAGGACAAAATATTAAAAAGTAGACCTGCATGAAAAAAACAAACAAACAAACCACTATGCTCTCCATAAAAGGAAAAGTTCAAAAAATTAAGACCCATCGCTCCTCCCAGCCCTTTGATCCAGAGGGAATTGAGGAATGAGTAACCATTTCCCAAGGACATGCTCTCTTCAAGGTGAAGCCAGTCAGGCAAAGATGAAGTAGGAGAATTATATGACAAGACTGGGACTGCAAAGAAGTTTTCAGTCAATGGAATGAGGATCTCAAAGCGTACTCAGTAAAAGGGCGTAAGGTGAGTTTCATGGAGAAAGGATAAGCCAGGGAAAGGCTAAGAGAAAACAAAATGGTATAAGCAGGGTAAATGTGACTTACCTATATATATTAAAAAAAAAAAATGTAAGAGGGAAAACCACACATTGGAAGGAGATTGTGAACCCCAACACTGAGGGAAGCAAAGAGCTGAAAGATTATCTGGGAAGATCACAAATGGAAGTAGCCAGCATCAGCCACCAAGCACGGCTTCCTCCCTGTGGGTGGTAGGAAGGGTGAGCGCTGGGGCCTGGCCTCCTAGGGCGGGCATGGCTATTGGTAGCTGCTCTGGCCGCTGCAGATTCTACTCTTCAGTAAAGCTCTCCTACATAAGACTTAAACAGTGAAAGCTGATATTCCAATAATCTCTGTCTTAGATTTTTAAAATACTGTAACATCCTTTCTTGAAAATGGAAACTTCCTGGTAACTATTCTCCCCAATTTCCTACAGCTGAGTGAAATCTAAAGGTTACTTTAAATATAAAGTTCATCTTATCGAGAGCATCTGGGTGTCTCTACAGTAAGTCTATTTTTATTACATGTTTAGCAGTAGTAAGACATGTACTGAGAGCTGCCATTTTCACACCTCCAGTGCTCGTTTCCTCTTACATATGTCGTGGTACAAGAGCCAGACTCCAAACTTCTGATTTCCCAGAGTCGTTTAAAATCATGTTTTGAGTGCTTCTGGGTGGTGACAGACTGCCCCCACTTCTGTCTACACCCCCGACAGCTTGGGAATGGGACCGGGAGACAATGGTAGGGAATGGGTATCATTCCGAAGGAGGTACGAAGGGCTGACACTTCCTGTTGCTCAAGTGAACACAAGTAGCATGGAATGCAGGGCTAGGTCTTTCAGAGTTCTCACCACTCTGGAGGAACAGTCAGTCCTTCTTGCTGGGGACTTGAGGAGATTCAGAATTCATGCCCACAGGAGGCAGCTGTGTTTGGGGGAGGCAGCCTTCAGAGATACCTGAGCGGGGAGTGAGGGGAAGTTTGTTAAGATGACCACTAACTGGTCAGGACAGCCCGTGGGAGGGGGGAGCCCCTGCCTGCTTCCAGCTGCAGGTATCAGCTCGGAGACCAGCTCCTAGTCCAGGGCAGGAAGTGTAAAGGATCACTCGATTCATTCGGTAGTGGGTTCAGAATCAAACTGTCTTGACCTCTGGTGCCCCTTCCCTGTTCCCGGGCTCCCACCTCACAGAAAGAAGACCACTACTCCTTTTGTTTCATCTGGTCTCATTTTCCTCAGGGTGTGTCATTTCACTCCGCCTCATTTACTGTCTACGCTCAACAAGAGAGCTTCTCTCTTCCTCAGCAGTTTTAGTCTGTAGCGGGCTCACTTCTCTGAACACATTCCTGCTTTCCTTGAACTACCTCCTCCCCAAACTCTTTTTCCAGATATGGCAAACTTCTTGCAAGGGTAGTCTGCACTTATTAGTGCCTTCACATTCTCCCCTCAGGCTAATATAAAATGGCTTCTAACCCCGTTGCTCTAAGATGGCACCTACACCGTTTTCACAAAAACCGCCAACAGACCTCTGATTGCCAAAACCAATGACTTCTCAATAGTCCCTTTTTGATTGCCCTTTTCTCCTTAAAACCTCCCCTTCCAAGACACTATGCTCTTTCGACTCGCCTCTCACCATCTGGCCACTTCCTCCACCTTCCTTCTCCCTGTACCTTCGGTATAGATGATCCCAAAACTCTGTCGACATTTCTCCTCTCTATGGATCCCTGGTATGCATTCCCTCTTTGATTCCTCTATCGCTCCCAGACCTGTCTAACACTGGCCCGGACCGCCTGCTCCTGAACTAAAAGTCTGCATTTCTAGGGGAGCTGGGTGGCTCAGTTGGTTGAGCGCCTGACTCGATTTTGGCTCAGGTCCGGATCTCAGGGTCATGAGATCGAGCCCCACATCAGGCTCCGCGCTCAGTGGGGAGTCTGCTTGGGATTCTCTCTCTCCCTGCCCCTCACCACCCAGAATAAATAAAAATCTTTAATAAAAATAAAACTCTGCATTTCTAACTCTTTCAAACATCTTCTGGATTTCTTGTGAGTCCCTCGAATTCAGCACAGTCAGAGCTGGCCTGTCCTTTCTCTCACCTATGCAAATATGACACCTTCCTCTTCCTCAGCACTTACACTGTCATTAAGTTCTGTTGATTGTAACTCTCACACATCTTCCTGACCTACCCCTCTGTTGGCTGCTTCTACTTCTGCTCTCATCTGGGCCCTCCAAAATCTTCATGAGGACCAGCAGGCAGTTAATAGAAGGAGCTTCAGAAGTCAGACTAACTGGATTCCAGTTTTTCTCACTGAATAGCTGTGGACATTGGGTGAGTTATTTAACTCCTTTAAAACTCAGTTTCTTCATATGTTACATGCAGCTGGCACTTAGAACTACTATAAGAAATTTGGTGAGCTAAACACAATGTTATTCACAATGGCTGGCACATGGTAGCCACTCAAAGAGGTTATTTTTTTCACTCAGTACTCTCCTTACTTTCTCCCCATCACTGAGCTAGAGCACTCTGCCCTTAACTCTCCATTGTTCTCCTCCAATACACATTCAACACTCGAAACGGTTACTTTCTTTTTTTTTTTTTAGATTATTTATTTGGGAGGGGTTAGAGGGAAAGGGAGAGAGAGGACCCCAAGGAGGCTCCATGCCCAGCGTGGAGCCCAACGTGGGGCTGATCCCACCACCCTGAGATCATGACTGAAGCTGAAATCAAGAGTCAGAAGTTCAACTGACTGAGCCACCCAGGGGCCCTAAGCTGGTTACTTTCTAAATCAGAGATCCACTCAAGTCCGTCTTTGGTTAAAAACAAAACAAAACTTGTCACAAATTGTCATTGCCCATATGGCAGACAATCTCCTTAGTACGGCATTTATGACCCTTCAGAAATCTAACCTCAAACTACCTCTCCACCTTACAAATTCACCACTTCTTATCAAATAACCTGAACACCTGATGTATCTTACATTGTCAAGCCTTTGTTTATTGCAGCCATCCTGTCTTCAAGGTCTTCTCCCCTTTCATTTCCAGCTGATGAAGTCATATTTCTATTTGCATAAGCACCTGTTCCTCCCAATAAATTCTAATTCCTTGGAAGCAAAGAACCTTCCTTATTAATCTGGCACATTGCATTCATTTCATTCATTCACCAAGCTTTTATTGGCTGAGAAGCAGGCATTGTGCTAAGTCCCAAGGATATAAAGCCAAAGAAAATAGGTCCTACACCATTAACCCCTATATAGTCTCATGAGGAAGATGGGTCCACAAATTATTCTAGTAGAGTGATAAGTGAGAGGATAAAGCAGTGGTTCTCAATCTGGTGGCATATTAGAACTCCCTAAAATCAATTCTTAAAAATGCTAATGCCTAGGTTCAACCACCAGATTCTAATTTAATAGGTCTGTGGTGCATTTTTTTTTAAGCTCCTACGGCATAGTTATGTGAAGTGAGGGTTGCAGACCTCTGGGATAGAGCTGCATAAACAGAACAGGGAAGACACACCTTGAAGCTGGCACTTCTGACTGTTCCACAGCATCTTAGCCCCTTTCTTCTTCCTTCCTTTCTACTCAGGCGTGCACCCTTTCTCCACCCAACTTAGGAGATATTGCCCTATCCCCAACTCAGTGGTATACTTGTGACTGGTTTAGGTGTAGGCAAAGGAACTCATTCTAAACAAGGATACCTAAGGGGAGGTCAGTTATGGGAAGTCGAGAAAAGGTTTCCTAATTCCAAGAAAAACATACCAAGAAAGATAATTTTATTTTTTGTAAAGATTTTATTTATTTATTTGAGAGAGAGAGAGAGAGAAAAAAAACATGAGTGGGGGAGGGGCAGAGAGAGAGAGAGAGAGAGGCATCCCCACTGAGCAGGAAGCCTGACGTAGGGCTGGATCCCAGGACGCTGAGATCATGACCTGAGCTGAAGGTAGACATTTAACCAACAGAGCCACCCAGGCACCCTGAGAGATAGTTTTCTTTTTGCCTTTGGACACTGCAATGCCTGGCTGTGACATCTGGAACTGCAGCAACTATATTGTAACCATGAGGGGATCTGAGGCAGAACTGACATCCAGAAAGGGCCTGGCTTCTTGATGACCCTGTTAGGTTACTGCATCAAACAACCCTAATGTTGGTCTACCTGTGCATTTCTTAATGTATGCAATAATAAATTTCCTAATTCCTTATGATACTTTGACTCAGTTTTCTGTTTACATGCAACAGATGGCATCCTAACTAATATACAACTAAACCAAACTTGGAGATCAAGGAAAACAGACCAGCAAAGGTGATATCTATGAAGAGTCTTCATCAAGGCAGTCAAGAAGCAGGAGAAGCAAATAAAGAGGCATGGATATAAAAGTATAAGATATTATGGAACTGCACATAGTTCAGAGTGGCTATTGCAAAGAGTATGGGCATAAAGATGAAGCTGGAAAGATGGGAGTTTGGAGCAAGAACTCGAGGAGGCTTGTATGCTGTGGCAGGTTAAATATGGCCACAAAACCTGCAGCTTCTTCTATTAAGAAGCAAAGTTGAGGGGCACCTGGGTGGCTCAGTCGGTTAAGTGTCTGCTTTCGGCTCAGGTCATGATCCCAGGGTCCTGGGATCGAGCCCCACGTCGGGCTCCCTGCTCCACAGAGAGCCTGCTTCTCCCTCTCCCGCTGCCTGCTACTCTGCCTACTGTACTCTCTCTCTCTATCTTTCCGTCAAATAAATAAATAAAATCTTAAAAAAAAAAAAAAAAGAAGCAAAGTTGGATTTTCACACCCCATGAATATGGCTGGCTTCATGACTTGCTTTGACCAATGGAATGTACCAAAAGTGATGTTATGTTAATTCCAGAACCAAGGCCTGGCTCTCTTGAGATGCTGCCCTGAGGCTACCATATTGTAAAGAAGGCGATCTAGCGTAATGAAGGATGAGAGGCCAATGGAAAAGAACTGAGGCACTTTGGCCACACTGGTACCAAGTGCTGAGCATGAGAGGCCATCTTGCCCCACACAGCTATTCCAGCCATCATCTGACTGCACGTAAATCTCAGAGCCAACCCACAGAATTATAAGAAATAATAAATCATTATTGTTGTAAGCCACTAGACTTTGGGTGGTTTGTTATGCAACAATAGCCACCTGATGGTTAAGCCATGCCAAGATGTGCTGACTTTACTCTGAAAACCATGAGGAGTAACCTGATTAAATTCATGTTTAGAAAGCACCTCAGTGGCAGCATGAACAATGGGCTTGGCCTGGGGGCAGGTTGGAGGTAGAAGGACTGGTTGGAAGAACTGTTGTATTAACAGAGCTGAGAAATCATGTGGATCTGACTTAACACAGTGGCAGAAGGAAGGCAGAGAAGAGTTATTACGGAGGTAAAATCAGCATGATGGCAAATATAAGCAACAGTGCGTAAAGGAGAAACGTGAATTAGGAATTACAGTTCTCTGGACTAGGTAAATTAGTGGATGGTAGTGCCTTCACTAAGAGGGACTAGGGGAGGAAGAGAAGGTTCACTGGAACTGGAATATCTAAGTGGAGAAGATGGCAAGGAGTTATGAATACTCAATAAATGCTTAATGAAGAAATTACTATGATGAACCTGGGTAAGTACTGTAGTGTTCTAGTCCAGTGAGCTGTGGTTATATGGCATAACCTGAGTTCTCTCTAAGTCAGGGAAGTTTAAATGATGTGAACTCATTTCCTCGATACTTCGTCGGAATAGAAAGGAAAAGGAAAGATAAGTTTTGATGCAGTCCAAAATGCTCACAAATCCACATATTGTTCAGTTTATGTGCATCGATCTGTAATTCTCAGGGAGCACTACTAGTATCTGATGTTCCTATCTGAAAGCACTTTCTTAATCTATCCAGAAGGTAGTGCCATGATATAGGTTCTCTTTTTGTCCTCCATATTCTTCACTTGCCTCCCAACCTGTAAAGTCGCTTCCCTAACTCCACGCAAAGAAAGAGTCGAGACTATCCCCAGGTCAGATACTTTGTCAAGTGAGCACAATCTATGATTTATTTTGTAACAAGCTACAAAGGCTACAAACAACTTTAATATGCACATGTAAATACTGGCTTACCTTTGAAATTGATTAAAATAGCAAGTAAATGGCTGGGAACCGATCTCATCTTTCCAGTACTGTTGCCAATTCATGACGCTTTCCAAGTTCTTCTGATTTTCTCTTTTACAGGGAGGAATATAGGAGCACTAGCAAAACAGAACACAGAAAATAAACTTATTATTCTACAGAATATTGAAATATGGTCCTTTTTTAATAGAGAGATGGTATTATGCACATAGTAAATCTAATTCTGACCTACCTAATCTTTAATAGAACCAAACTGAAATCGTTGAATTACATTTCAAATTTCCAGTTTGGAACAATTACAGAAAATATCCCAATTAAATGCAGCAAAAAATAATCTTTAGTCATTACAGTATGAGGATAGATTATAAATAATTAGTTACAATCTAATAGCAAATTAAAAGCATGATATACTCTCTTTATTGTGGGCCTGAAAATCAGTAGAGGGAAGCAAAAAAGAAAGTTAATTTTTATCCCCAGTTGCTAACTATAGACCTTGATATTTTCCTCTTCCACCTCTAACTACCAACCACACAGCTCTCTTCAGATACTGCTCTCAACCGCTGAAACTCAAGTTTTCTTTTCTTACATTCTCTTGGACAATAAAATCAGCAGAAAACTTCCTCACAAGTACATAGTCAGTGCATTTTGCTAACTGATGTCTTTTCCTGGCTCTGTCACTAACAAAGTATTTCTCTCTGAAGGGACCTAATTACTCTAAGCAATACAGAATCAGCAGATTTGGAAAAGTATTCTTAACTCTAGATGTTAAAATTAACCCTTAGCATTTGAATCCATTTTCTCTGATTCAGTTTTTCTTTTTTTTAAAGTAGTCTCCTCACCCAGCATAGGGCTCGAACTCATGACCCTGAGATCAACAGTCAGATGCTCCACTAACTGAGCCAGCCAGGCTCCCCTCTGATTCAGTTTTTTATAATGATGATGATCACAATAAAGATGGTGCCAATTTACTGTTACTGAATGTTTACAATATGCCCGGCACTGCAATAAATGTTTAACAGGCTTTAATGTGTTTCTTACAACAACCCTAAAATGATCTCCATTTTACAGATGAGGAAACAGATTTCTGTCAGCTCTACAACTGGATGCTGGTGATTTTATCACATTCGACTCCCAGACGTTCTAGGAAAATTTCCGATGTTAAAGAGTAGGGGAAACAAACAAACAAACCATTAGCTTCATAGTATAATTTTTTAAAAGATTTTATTCATTTATTTGATAGAAAGAGAGCACAAACAGAGGGAGTGGCAGGCAGAGGGAGAGGGAGAAGCAGGCTCCCCGCTAAGAAGGGAGCCCAATGTGGGGCTCGATCCCAGGACCCTGGCACCAACTGAGCCACTCTAGGGGCCCCTTTGTAGCATAATTTGATTTGCATTATTTTAGAGCATATAGTTTGTCAACACCTTCTCACTATTTTCTGGTAAAATACAAACTTTTTAGTATGATGCACAGTCCTCTTCAGGATCTGCCCTCCCCTGCCTGGGACTCCGCCATTTAGAAGCACATAGTCCCAGGACATGTGGGTGGCTAAGTGTCTGCCTTCGGCTCAGGTCATGATCCCAGGGTCCGCACTTTGAGTCCCGCATCGGGCTCCCTGGTCATCAGGGAGCCTGCTTGTCCCTCTGCCATTCCCCCTGCTTGTGCTCGCTCTCTGAAATAAATAAATAAATAAATAAATAAATAAATAAATAAATAAATAAATAAATAAATAAACCTTCCAAAAAAAAAAAAAAAAGAAAAAGAAAAGCAAAAACAAAAAGAAGAAGAAGAAGCACATAGTCCCCAGATCTGCCATGTGCTGTCACACCTACTGGCTGGTCTATGCTGCTCTTTCTTCTTTTAATGCCCTTTTTCTTTTACTTCCCTTCTTTCCAGATGCAGCTCTGGTGCATCTGTTTGGGGGAACCTTCTCTTTCTTACTCCACAGTTAAGCCCCCCTTCTGTTGTCCTGCCACAGGCATCACACCCTGAGCACCCGCAGCTTTAATCCCAGGATCACACTGGTCGGTCTGTTTTACATCACCCTCCTCAATTCACTGGCAAGTTGGAACAGGGCTCTTTTTTCTTTTTTCCCTGCATCTTCACACTTAGGACTATGCCTGGTAATAGTGAAATTTCAAAAATGTTGGTAGAATTAATAATAACACACTTATATACACTTTTTATTCAAGATGATGAAGCTATTTTCACAGTAAACATTTCTCTTAACACAAAAATATTTTAAATTTTAGTAAATTTGGTTGTTTTCTATTATACATAACAAATTTACAACATCTTACACAAATCTTATTTTAATGATTGGATCACTGTATATTTACAGTGATCCTCTGCACATATGGTTAATGTTCTATTAATAACAGTATAACATATATAAAGCTAAAAATTTCTGTGAAATTCTGAATTCTGAGATCTTCCAAAGCAGCAGTTGGGTTTAGAAGCAATATAGGCCATTAGATAAGTCTCCAGTCCTACTATTTGTTGGGTGTTTGGACTTGAGTAAATTACTTCCTTTTTCTGGATTTCATTTCTTCTAATCTGTAAACTCTCCAAAATAATTTCTAGCTCTACATTTTTATGATTCTCTTCTTGGAGGCACACCAAGAAAGGACCCAGCAGAAGGCAGGACTACAAACACTTTTGCAATATTTTTCCCAGAAAAGATCCTGCCCACTGGGGAAGTGGCTGGGCAGCCTGACTAAGTCACCATTCCAGCCAGCAAAAAGGACAAGTGTGGTAGGTCCTTTCTTGAGGACCTATACTTCGCCTTAGCTTAGTGTTCATAAGGGGCCTCTGATTTTTTTTTTATTGTTTATGTCCTATAATGTGCTGGACATTTCCTTGCCTTCTATTAAAACATTTTGCTTTCTATACCATGGTCAATTAGTTTATAAAGTGAGAGTAGGTGCCACCTGATTGTGTTCTTCAAAGGATGTGTGAAACCTTAAAAATCCATCAGAGCCTTTTTTGCAATGGCTATACTCGACCCAAGAGGTACAGTAAACATTTTAGGGAATAACAACTAGCAACCAAATGGAACTAAGGCAGATTTTTAAATTTTGCAATTTAGTTCAGTTTGAACTCTTTGCTATTTAGTTTTTATTGCGGGGAAATGGGTTTAAAATAAATATCTCCCCCAAATGACAACTCTATGATTTGACCAGGAGAGTCACGTCCACGTGTTTCTGAAAAGGTCAGACAAAAACTTTCACTGAGTCAGTAAAGTCTGTAGTAGGTATGTTGTGGTTTCACGTGGGAAAAAAAGAAATGTTCCTCGCCTTTAGAATACTTTGAGGTAGTGTGGGTGAAGTTTTAGAAGCAAGGTCTTTTTTCACATGAGGAAAAATAGCCTGTGATGAAAATTCAAGTATTTTTTTCATGGACTGCATTCTTTCCCAGAGTATCATAGATTAAATAATGAGCTTATAATACTCTAGTAACTTTTAAATCTCACATCACCTTAAAAGGAAAAAATTTTAAAGGCTAACCGTATGTTCTTAAAAATCATTGTTTATTTTCTTATATCTTGATTCTCCAATTAGTTTGTCTTTAAAATTTCTGTGAAGCCTTAGTTGGATTCTCCCAAGATTCCTTCTCAACTCTAGCAGATCAATTTTAAAATAAGTAATAAATACCAATTCAAAGCAGTGTTCTAGGAAAAAAAAATTGGAAATTCAGTCAGAGACTCCTTTCCTCTCTAGGCTGTTCAAACCTGATGGGTTTCCAGGTGCTACAGTAACTCCACCACGACTATCTCACCTTTGGGGGAGGGGCACAAACGATAATATTCACTGTTTCAGCAGCATCACTATTGTTGTCGTGGTTAACATTTATTGATTATAGGTGAAGCATGTCATGAATCCAAATCTCAATTAATCCAAATCAGCAAATGGTATAATCGCCTATGTTTTACAGATGAGGAAATCGAGGGGCAGAGGTTTAAGAAAACTTTCCCTCGGTTACAGTGGCAAATGGAGAAGTTGAGATTCAGACTGCAGAGGGTTCTTAACCACTGTACCACCCGGCCCCACGTCTCTATCTTTAGGGCTTCCCAGTTTTCTCTCTCTGAAGCTCCCTGCTTTGGGGGTAAGGGAGATGCCCTGACTTCTGCATCCCTCTCTTGGAGAACCAGTGTCATGATTCTTTGAGAATGGAGTTGGTGTAGCCCTCTCAGACGGAGGGGCTGAGGCAGTCTGTGGCAAAGTTTTGTTTTCCTGGTACACTCTCCAAGAACTGCATTGTTTTGTTTTGTTTTGTTTTATTATTATGTTAATCACCATACATTACATCGTTAGTTTTTGATGTAGTGTTCCATGACTCATTGTTTGCGTATAACACCCAGTGCTCCATGCAGAACCTGCCCTCTTTAATACCCATCACCAGGCTAACCCATCCCCCTGCTCCCTCCCCTCTAGAACCCTCAGTTTGTTTCTCATAGTCCATAGTCTCTCACGGTTTGTCTGAGAACTGCATTGTAAATCTTTGCTTGTTCCCTCCTGTCTCAGTTTGGCTCCAGGGTTGATTTTTGGTGCCATGGATGTAATTTCACTTAGGTGAATTTATAGACACAATGTCTTTGACCATAGAGGACAATGAGCGTTCCCTTGGAGAAACTTCTTCATACAATTCTGATCTTTTTTGTTTTTCACTTGCAAAGGCAGCATTTCCCAATTTCTAATATCATTATCACCCAAATAAACTTCACTATTGTCTGTGTCACTTGCTGCCTAAACTTCATGAAATCACTTTCTTTAAAAAGTCAAGAGAAGGGCGCCTGGGTGGCTCAGTTGGTTAAGCGACTGCCTTCGGCTCAGGTCATGATCCTGGAGTCCCAGGATCGAGTCCCACGATCGAGTCCCACGATCGAGTCCCACGATCGAGTCCCACGATCGAGTCCCACGATCGAGTCCCACGATCGAGTCCCACGTTGGGCTCCCTGCTCAGCAGGGAGTCTGCCTCTCTCTCTGACCCTCCCCCCTCTCATGCTCTCTATCTCATTCTCTCTCTCAAATAAATAAATAAAATCTTAAAAAAAAAAAGTCAAGAGAAAAAGAGGAATGTGATAAAAATATTTGTTTAATGCTTACCTGGTAGAAAAAATTTT